TGTGTGTGTGTGTGTGTGTGTGTGTGTGTGTGTGTGTGTGTGTGTGTACCTTACCTATATACATTCAGAGTTGCTTTTGTAACATCATAGAACATAAATTCTGGATCTTGTTTATCGGGAGTGTGAAGAGTAACTTTCACATCTCCCAAATATCTCGCCATTGCTTCTTTCAAAGTACTAACTAATAAATTATTTTTATCCACTAGTAATGACGCTGCTCTTGGTTGAGAAGCAAAGTAATTAAACCATAAGGAGAGCGATTCTTTTGATACATCCTGCGAAGAGAGAGTTTCACATAAAGTATGATTTAGAAGCATACAATGCTGTATAAATATTATTCACCAATATTTAATTATTAAATCCGTATATAATAGATCAAAATTATATTCTAACATATTCTAATAACTTTTTAATATTCTAATATTTTATTTTCTTACTTATATTTAAAATCTAAAATAAAGAGACATTAGTCAATCAAGAAAATAAAAGTTTACAGCGATAAACATACCAATGGACCCGTGAAGATTTGACTAGAACTTAAGTTATAGATGTGACGCGCCAATGCTTCCGATATAATTTGGGTATGCTTGTATAATTTGTCTACTTGTCCTTCTTTAAAGACGTCTAATATAGTAGCCCTAGTTGAATCTTCGTGACTTTTTAATGTAGATAAAGTAGCAGCTGGCAATCTCCGAATGCTATATCTTTCATGTTCCCAAGCTAATGTCTCTTCTGCAAGATTTATCTTTTTATGCACGCCATCAACAGTGATAGTGTTGAATGATTGTGAAACAGTTTTAAGCTCCTTGTAAAACAAACCACCCGAAGAATTTTCTTTAGGTGGCTTGGACACGTGTACATATAAATTATTGCTAGCGGAAACTGTATCAAGGCATATTACATAAGCTGCATCCTGCAAATATAATATTTTCAAGTATTAATTACATTAAAGAGAATATATAATGAAGATATACAAATAAATTACTCAGAAATATCAATATTAGGATTGTATTACCTGTATAACAGATCCTTCAACCCCGTCTAATTGATCCTCCAACCATTTCTTACTACCTTGGTAATTTAATTTACCAGCTCCAGTTGCGATAAAAACAAGATTATATTGCGGCCTTGTCCGACCAGTGGAATATAAAGCAGAGAATAATCTCGCTATTTCTAGTAGCATAGCTATACCGGAAGCATTACTGTCCGCACCAAATGACAATTCCTATAATAGCATTGTACCATGCGTTTGAACATATATCGAGCCTTACAAATATCATAAACGATACAGAAAATAATAATACGACTTACAGGTGCCACACCAGTACTATCGTAATGTGTCACTATTGCTATGGTAGGTAATTTCTCTTCGGTACCAGTTCCAGTTAATTTGCCGTGCAACGTGGCAACTTTAACATCTGCTTTAGGAAGTGCCTGTCCAGTGGTTACTACCACTTGATAACCGCTAGCTGAAATTGAATTGTATATGGCTTCAGCTGCTGAACCAGCCTTCTCATCCGTAACAAAACCACCCGCAATATCATCTAGAATCATTTGAAGTTCGGGATGCCACAGTGCAAAGTACACCGGTATCATTGTCTCAGAACTGTACATCATAGATTCTTCTAGATTCAAAATGTGCTAAAATCAATACAAAGTATCGTCAGTTTGCTCTAACTTTTAACAAATAAATCTAGCTGTTTATGACAACCTTATCTTAGAACAAATATTTTAAAATACAATGAAGCTTCATATTAATCCTATTACTAACTTGCTTTTCCTCGGCCGTAAGTTCACTCATCTTCTTAGGTAGAACAATCACCAATGCGCCAGCCTTACTTCTAATAGACTGGAAGACAGACGGCGTCATATCCAGTGCTCTCGTGACGACGCAGTGCCTGGAGGTACTCCATCCTGTCAGGGACCTCGCCTCCAGAGAAATGGGCGCGCTTCGGCAACCTGATAGGGTACATCACAATCGCGTCTCTTTGAGAACCGACCGAACGTTCTCCGGACAGATCATCACAGACAAATTCGATATCTTACCGTGCGGAACCCCGTGCAGGTCGTACTGGTGCATACGGTACACGGGAAACTCGTGGGAGGCGGCCACCGGGTTCACCGGGGAGATGATGATGAAGATCGGCAGAACTATTAGCAGATAATATGGCAGATATCCCCGGCACAGCTCGGCGAAGCTGTCGCACTCCTCCAGCCACATGTTTCCACCGAGAGTATTGTACCAATTGTTCAAATGGAAATGCGGTTCTCGCGCAATTTCATCGACCTAAGCCCAACCACGGATCCGCGCTCTCAGTCCTATCACCCGTGCGACGACGACGAACCACGAACCCCACTTTTCTCGTGCCGGGTTAGGCTAGGTATGACTTGCTAAAGGCTGCTAAGGCACCGGACAATTAAGATACTGTTAAAGACCAACAATTTAAGTATGACTGGTAGAAAGCTCATCATATGATATTAATTTTATGATTTATTATTGTCTTGTTTTGTAGATATATTTCGATAATATTTTAGATTTATTTAAAACTGCACGTTTATTTTATCATTTGAGTTTGATTACCCATGAGAGATAACTGTGGAGAAAAATGTTGTTTCGTTAACAATTATACTATATTTATATAGCGCTAATATAATGTACCCACATATATTATAAATATTGCCGCCTTCTCATCCTGATTTAGGCATTTGCAGTTATAATTAGTTATAATG